AAACCCCAAAAAAAAAAAAAAAAAAAAAAAAAAAACGTTTTCCTCACTCTCGAACTATTCTTCTACCAGACAGAGGAAAACTACAAAAAGGAGAACTTTTTTTTTTTTTTTTCCCTCACTTACTCACCATCACTTCTTTGCCAGTTATTTTTTTCACCCTGTCGGGATCTCTTGGTTCCGAAGCCTTCTTCCGTCCGCGCCACGTCATCGTCCGCGACAGCAGGACTCTGCCTTTTCCCCGCAGTCCGGCGATGGCGGTCATCTCCTTCTTCTTCTTCAAAAGTCCCCCCTGGCTCGATCTCTCCTTCTTCCAACTCCTCTGCGTTCACTTCCGCCGCCATAGCCAAAGCTTCGTCGCCGCTCGATTTCCCGCCAGCCGCCATCGCCATATCTTCCGCATGTCCTGCCTCCTCCCTCGTTCCCACCACCTCGGGTTTTCTTTCCCCCTTCTCTACCCCTTTCTCCCCGCCCATCTTCTTCCCCCTCCCCCTCCCCCTCCCATTCTCTTCCCCCCCCTCCCCGCCCGTCTTCCTCCCCCCCCCCCCCTCCTTTCCAACCTCTACCCCGCCCTTCTTCTTCTCCTCACCACCGTCCTCTTCATCGTCCTCCCCTGGGATTAGATCAGCCGCCATATCCGTCAGCTCTTCCAGTACTTCTTCTTCTCCGCTTGTCATACTCGTACACGTGGGGATCGTCCTTCCATCGCGCTCTTTCACCGAGTCGTTGACGTCATCAACTTCCTTGCCATCCACGTCATCAACGAGCCCAATCAACGAGCGGGACGAATCTTCCTCTGAGTCTTCCATCCTTGCGTCGTTCCCTCTAGAGTCGTGGCGACGTCTGTGCTTCTTTTTCTCTTTTATCCGCGTCATCTAATGGAACGATCAAACTGGATGTATTTGACCTTAATTACGGATAGATTCCCTCCAGCGGCGGGGAGCGAGGTTTCTTCGACGTATTTGCCCTTGATTACCGACAGATTCCCTCCAAGAATCCTGTCGAACTTCGTAAGTACATGCGCATTCCGCTTGCCCGCGCTCCCACCCCCGACGACCCCGTCGCTCCCAGCCGCTCCCCGCGCTTGCTCCTGCCCCTTTCCCCCCCCGCTTGC